CCGCCGCCCGCTGCCGTCGCCCGCTCCCTGTCCGCCAGCCGCCCTCGGCGCGTCACCGCCCGCGGCCCCTCCTCCGCCTTCGGAGGTGGGGCTCCGCGCTCTACACCTGGCTGCGGGGCGACTCGCCGCGTGCCTCAGTTTACCTACACATGCTAGCTGCCGCGGGGAGCCCTTTCCTCCCCAGCTCGGGGTGCAGCCCCTCACAGGCGAAGGCGGGAGGTGCCATGGGAGCGGCCTCCGGCCTGGGGAGGAGAGAACGGCCGCCACCGCCGCCTCCCCGGGCCCCTGCCACCCGCCGTTGATATGGCAACTGACAGCCGCCAGGGGGCGCGGCGACATTGGAGGCGGCGAGCGAGCAAAGCCCAGGCCTTCCATCCCTGGACCCCCTGTTCTCCGGGAGGCAGGGATGAAACTCACAGGACCCCCGTCCCCCCTGAGCTGAGCTCGAGCTGGTCGTGACCCGGGTCAGTAGTCACAAAAGTAGCTAGCATTTACTCTACACCCTTGTGTGCTCAGGGAGTGCTGAGCGTTCCTGCTGAATCCTGAATCAACAGCCCCATAGTCAGGATCACTAACCAATTTTACAGAAGAGCACATTGAGGCTCAGAGAGATGAGGTCATTTGCTCAAGGTCACACAGTGACAAAGCTGGGACTCGAACCTTGTCTGAGCCTGAAGAGGATTCTCTTGACTCAGGCTATTTACAGTCTGTCCAGGACAGCAGTCATGCTGTTTGAGGCCTGTTATCCTTATGTGCCAGGCACAAAGCCCACCATTCACCCATCTCCTTCTCTGGTCCTGTGCCCCCTTTCCCTACCCTGGCCCTTCCCCAGCATCTTTCTGATACCTTTCTGGCTCCAGGAGCCTCCTCTTTCTTCCTCCAGCCCTACTCAAAAGCCAGCCCCCAACAAGGCTGTCTTTCCAACTCCTCTGCACCTCTTCAATCTGCCCCTCCTCTCCAGTCCTCTGCCAATGGATCCTGAGTCCTGTCCTCCCCAGTCTGACCTCTCCATCTGTCCCCCTCGGAGCACCCGCCAGATCATTCTGAAGCGGAGTGTGTATGTATTTCCCTCCACTGTCTTCAGGAAAAACAAAATTGTGACATTTGAGGCTCTTTCCATCTTCCCTCGTAGGTTGTGGCCACACTGTTTCCTACCCCCTGGGCCTCCCTGCCTTCAGGGCTGTGCTCTCTGATTGCACCCCAGTACCTTTCCCCGGTTGCTCTCCACCTCTTAGCTCCCATGGCTTGGCCTTGAAGCTTCCTTGTAGGAGCAGTCAGGAATGGGTCTGGTGATCCTGGTGTCCCAAGAGACCCTGTTCTGCCATGGGGGACCCTTCCAGGGAAGGTCTTGAGGGTCAGATGAGGAGCAGAGAGCACTCTCCTGAAGGCAGTGTAGACCAGCAGGGGTTTGAGGCATGTCAGGGAGTGATCTAGGGTCAGCTTCACAGGCACACTATTAGAAGCAGAGTGGCCATTGGCTAAATTGGGGGTGGGGAGGGCAAGGAGGGAAAAAATAACAATTGTAGTAAGTACAATTTATCAAGGGAAAATAAATGGTCCAAGCTGTACGCTTCCCACTTTATGGGAATTATCTCAATTCTCACTCAGCAATATTACACTATTATTACCTCTATTGTACTCAGAAGGACTGAAATTCAGAAGTGCCATCACTGGCCAGGGTCAAATAGCTGGCCAGTTGCCATACTGATATTTGAACCAGGTCAGTCTGGTGCCAACCCCAAGCAATTACCCATGTCAGGACCCCACCCATCTGGGCTGAGGGTGGAGTTAGGGCACAGTCTTGTCACAGCACCACTGGCTGGGTGCCTTGGATGCTGGTGGGAGGTGTGGGAGGGGATAGTAGCATTGGAGGGGGTAGGTCTGCCATGGGCTTGTGTGGCTTCCACCATCAGACTCTCAGGCTGGGGCCCCTACTTGTTTCTCATGAGCCCTCCCTAAGTCACATCCTGTGGGCAGAGGCCTCAGTAAAAGTTCCGGTGGTGTCACCTCCTCCACCCCACCATCCCTGGCCTGAACCCTGACATCGCCAGTCACTTCCCCTCAGGGCCTCAGGCCCTTAGCCCTTCCTTGGGGAGGAATGCAGGCAGGAGCAGTCAGAAGCCCTTCAGAAGGCTGCCCAGGTGAAAGTGAGAAGATATTGGGTCCTAGCCAGAGACAATTTCTCACTGACTTTGACTTCTGATTTGCTGGTTTGAGGGAAATGTTTCCTGTTTCCATGATCAGCTAAGCTGGCAAAACAGGGCATGTGGCCAATACTCAGGAATGTTTGCCGATTGACTGACCAGGCTCTGAGAGAGCCTCTGGTCCTGCTGCCATTTAGCAGTTAGGGAAACTGAGGCACAGAGTAGGAAAGGGAGCCACTGGCCAGCTGTTTGACCCTGGCCTGGACCCTCTGTTTTCCTCCCCCGAGTAGGAACAGGGTACAGGGCATATTGAGAGAAGAAGAAAGGCTCGTGGGGTGGGGTGCTCTTGGCTGCCGGTCTCTCTGGGGAGACAAGGGGTCACTGGATAGGGGGATACAGGACAGAGAGTGGCTGTGTGATGCCCACAGCCCTGCAATCCCATGGACATTCTGCCCACACCGGCTGGGTACTGACTGTGCCCGGCCCCGTGTTGTTATGTGTCAGACCCCTAGAACTTTATAGCACCCCTCTTAGGAAGTTGTTATTATGGGGCCAAAGTTACAGAAGAAGAAACAGGTTCAGAGTGGTGAAGTGGCCTGCCAAAGGCCACGCAGCTAGGGAGCTATGGAGCTGGGATTCAAAGCCAGGTCTCTTTGTCCCCCAATATAAGACAACTGAGTCAAGCTGGGGAAAGGTATCTACTGAGTGCTACAGTATAGCAGGCCTGAGGCCAGTATGGATGCATGAGGCCAGTTCTCTCAACGGAGCATGAGGTCTGTTTGGAACATGCATATAAAGACAAAAGTGAGTGTAATACAGATGATAACTCTCAGTATAAACGTGTTATTTCGTTGCCACAGGATACTGTGAGGGATGTTGTATTTGTCCAATTTTACTGATGAGAAAAATGAAGCTCAGAGAGTTGATGTGACTTTGCCCGAGGTGGGGTCTGAACTCAGGTTTGCCTGGGTCCAACACCTTTGACTATGACATTGAAAGCCTCCAATCCCTGATAGTACCTGGTCAGATTGCAGACGACTGTGTCATAGACTTGGGAGGAGGAGGGCAAGGAGGGAGGGGACAGAAATCAGAGCAGGGTTCCTGGGGCACTATGGCTCAATCAGACCTCAGGGACTCAGTGGAGGCAAAAGATAGAGCCAGTGGAGGGACAAGTGGCATTCCGAGTGCGGGTCCGGCCCAAGCAAAGGCCTGGAGGTGGGAAAGCACTTGTGTGTTCAGTGCTGCAGAGTGGGGCTGGGCTGGCCTCCAGCACTGGCTGAGGAGGGCCTGGGGGACAGCCACCCGCCAGCAGGTCCCCAGCCACACTCCCAACGGCCACTTGAGGCAGCACAAAGAGGGCTCTGAGCTCAGCGGAGCCGCCACACTGAGCCCCATTCATCCTCTCAGGGATGCAGCAACTGCCCTGGCACCTGGGCCAACGGCAGGGCCAGCCTGGCGATGACAAGGCCCCTCCACCACGGCAACAGGGACTCGTCGTGGCTGGGACTCCCAGGTTTCACACCACGTGCCTGCCCTGGGGTTCTCCTGGCCTGTGCCAGTCTGCCCCTGGCCTGAACCACCCCCATCCCTCAGCAACAACCACCAGGGTTTGCTGAGGCCATAGTGTACTGGCCCGGGTCATCATTTGCTCCTTTCGTCTTCCCAACAACTCCAGGAAGTGGGGGCTACTGTGACCCCATTTCACAGATGAGGAAACTGAGACTCAGAGAGGTAAAGTCTCTTATGGAGGATCACACAGCAAGTCGGGAGTGGGCCTGGCCAGGAAGCCAGCAGTGGCTGATGCCACAGCCTCAGCAGTTAGCCCAAATCACTGTGACTGCCTCTTGGAAGAGAAGCTGGGGAACCCACCCTCCACCTCCCACAGGGAAGACCCCCAGCTACCACCAGGCCACAGGCCCCTCTCCCTTTTCTGACAACAACCCAGAGATGGGAAGGGACACTGGCCTGGGAGTTAGAACACCTGGGTATCTGTCTGTCTAGTCTCTGCTCCTCTTTAGCCTCAGTTCCCTCATCTGTGAAATGGGACAGTACCAGGATCATCTCACAGGGCTGTGACGATCTGTAGGGGCTTCCAGCTCCATGCCTGGCTCATGGTTAGTGCTCAGTAGAGGGAGCTGGAGTTGTACCCTCCTTATCCTCCTAAGGCCATGGTCCAGAAATCCCATCCTTTCATTTGAACTTTGAACACCTGTCCCATCCAGGCCTGTTTGCTGCCTCTGTCTCACAGTCTGTGTCCCTTTTCCCCCCAGAGCCTCAGGTTCCCCCTCATCCCATCAAGAAGGTTCAGCAGACCCTTCCCCTGCCAAGGTCTATCATCCAGCTGCCAGAGGATGGTGGGAGCTA